GTTCACAATGAGCTAAAAGTCCATCATATTTGCCTCCCAAGTTCTAGCCAAACTTTAACAGCCGATTTAAAATTTGTATTAATTGATCTATATTGAATTTCCTACGGAATATTTCCAGTTTGATGAAAAGTTTTCTCTGTTTTGAGACGGCGATGCGAAGGATTTGTTGGAGCAGGGCGCCCGCGCGTATTTTCCCGCGATTCGTGACGTCATTCATCCGTCGGTACTCTAATAGAGGACGGTTCTAAACCAATCACAACGCGAGTTTTACACAGCAAATTATATAAAGAATAATATCTCCTCTTTACAGCTAGGTAATATGTACAATAAAAATGTGCTAGCATTAGTTTGTTTTGCTTATTAATGGGTGGTGACAATCCCGGCAAGGATCCGCCTAATTATTTCCTGTACTGATCACCATATACCTTTATTTACAAATCACTTTCACATTTAACTTGAATGATCACGGTAAAGTAATTATTGTTAGATTTCCTTTTTTATATACCTACCTCGGCTTCGAAACTAATAATTATATGAAGCTCATTGCTTCCATTACAAGCACACATGTTTTTTTCTTTTAAAATTTCACCTTAAATCTCTTCTATGAATTATAATAAGGTACACTATTTTTTTTATGAGAACATGTAATTTTGTGCTGAGGCTAAGCCGTCTCAGCGATGTTTGATTGGTCACGCAACATTTCTCTTTCACTGTAAAATGTCCTTTGCTGGTTTTCAGTAGTCAAAAATTCAGACCAAGAGGGTGACTTACCGTAGTTGAGCCAGGGCCCCTATTGGCCAGCTTGTTCAGGGGCTACCGTAGCGGCCACGGGGTAGCGGGTCCCGTTGTGTATTCCGCTCTAACAATTTACGAACAAGGATGCTGAGGGGTTAGACTCTGAGAGGCTACCTTGAAAATAACTACCGTAAAAGCTCTGTCAAGCCCGTTCATATTTCAAGCCCCTCCACCCTCCCCTGAAATATTTACGTCACAGCTCTTGATTTGGATCAGATTTCACCGTTTGAGTGTCACAATTCAGAATTTCACTGGTCAACTAGAGTTCAAATGCATTCCACGAGAAAATTCAAATTCATGCTACAAGAAAAAAATGGAAGGAAAGCGATGGACTTTCCGGGAACTCATCCAGCAGTCGGGTATGTATAAATAATAGATTTCTCTGTCAGGTGAATCGGGGTGACATAGTAACAGTAGAACGTAATTTCTGCATCCTAATCAAAACAAACCTTACTTTAGCTTAAACTTAAATGACACGAAAACAATATGACTGAGTCGTGATTTGTTTCTTGTAGAATATAATTAAATTATTTAAGCCTGATTTTCACTAGTGACGCAAGCACAAGCGCAAGCAACATACGCAGACGCAGTAACGCGTTGATCATCAGTGCCTTTTGTTTACGACAAATCAACACGTTACTGCGTCTGCGTATGTTGCTGCGCTTGTGGCTTGCGTCACTAGTGAAAACCAGGCTTTAGAGGATAACGAATACTGATATTCAGCTTGGTTTGGATCAAATTTCATTGTTAACATGAATTAATTAATCACAGAATTATAGCTGCATTTTGCGATGAATTGAGACGAATACCAACTTTAAAAGATTGCACCATGATCTGCATTCCTATTCCTTAACGATTTCTTATCGTCCCCTTGCATTTTCTGGCATATGGCAAGCTTTGATCCAAGTTATTAAAGTTCTTATTAATTTGGAATATTGAGCTTTGGGGTCAGTTTTAGGAGGAAATTTGTCAATATTAGAGGAAACTGATCGACGACCGTTTATAAGAATCGTCGTATAGACAACATTTGGTTACATATTCTTGTAGGGCTAGGTCCAGACTTTACATTGATGTTATTGTCGTCTTTTAATTCCATCCGCCAGCTGAGAAATGAGGTGTACAAAATGACCAATTTTTGGCTTGCCCCGCGAGCGTGTTCATGTAGGGGCGAGTAGCCGCCTGGTATTCAAATAGCTTAACCTTAAATTGCTTGAAACTCATATAGCCTATAAAGTAGAAGCATATCTACGTTTCTATGTTAAAATTATTGTAATATATTATTTCCTTGCTTTGCGCCAATCGCTCAAAAAACGTAAACAATCGGCCCGATTTCGGTCGCGCGCGAACGCCCATCGGTGAAAATTATTTTTCGCCCCTAACGGAAAAAATTTAAAAGCAAGAACCGAAATAATTGTGGTTTTGTTACTTTGGCATGAAGGCCTTTCACCACACAAAAAATCAGGCGATTTTATCTTTCGACCTGGAACCGACCGGTCCGCTTTTACAGAGACAGCCTCTTAGGATCTCATGAGGCAGTTTTTGCACTGGTTATTGTTCACAATCCTGGGGAAAATGTATTCACAGGAATGTATTGATACTCTTTAAAATGTGTTGGGAACATGTACGTAAAGTTCTCTTGCTTATTAATTTTTTTTAATATCGAGGCAAACTCTGATTTCTAATGTATAAAAAGATACTTTGATTCTCAACATGGATTTACTGTAGAACAGAAAACAACTTTCACGTACTGAAGTAAATTTACAGTTATAAAAATATTATATCCTTGGATTTTTTATATATTCAATAGTGGTTTTGGACATCATTGTTACCTACTGGAAAACTCTTTAACTCTTGGTTTAATCATCAGAGACTATGATCAGAGGTTGTATGAAATAAATAAAATTTTAAACTTTATACCGATTCCGATGATTTATCAGCTTTACAACTTCTCCACTAACCGGTACCCTTTTAGATAACATCATCAACATTCTCGTTGACCTTCACAACGATTGAAGTAAACAACAAAGGCTAACTTTTATCAGGGCAAGTTTTACTAGTAAAGGCGACATCCTGAAGCACACCGAAAACACTCTACTCGAAGTTAACGAGTCACAAATGCAAACTGTTTTTTATTGCCGTAGTCAATCGAACGTTCGGTAATCGAACTCAATCCATGGATTGAGTTCGATTGAGTTCGGCAATCGAACGCAACTTTCTGCGGTGAGTTCGATTTCCGAACCAATCGAACTCAATCGAACTATTAAAAATCGAACACAATCAAACCAATCCGGGTGGATTGAATTTGATTGTGTCTGATTTTCGATTTCGCGTTGGTTAGTTGATCAGAGCAGAATTATCCGCGCTTTAATATAAAACACACGCGTTGAACGTGTCACGGAAAACTAGTCTTTGTTTTCAACAGAGGTTTTATTTCAACCTATCGGCCGCTACTCGTGTATCGACCGAGGTGTCGGCCGCTACGTCGGTGGACACCTCCTATAAGACACAAGATGCGACGTTGACCGAGTGTCGATGATATGTCGGTGATCTGTCGTGATACGTCGGTGATCTGTCGGCGAAGTAACGACCAAACATCGACCGACTATCGACCGATAGCTTGTGGCGGCCGACTGTCGGCCATATATCGGTCGATACACTGCTGATACTCGGCGATACTCGACCGACACTCGGCCCACACTCGACCGATATATCGACCGATATGTCGACCGAGGTGTCGATCGCTACGTCGGTCGACACCCCCTATATAGACACAAGAATCCAAGATGGCTACCTGTCTTTGTGAACACAATATATCAGATATATTCTCCCACGCAGACGCTCTTTGGACTCGCCATGCTGGTCGTGGCACGTGTGTATAAATAATCTACCTATATCTGAGGCGGCCCCTACGGCGCACATATTTTTTCAATTTTAATTGCAAATTTTAACGCAACTTGTTTTTGCGTTAATGATTTAAAAAATATTAAACATTCGATATTCAAGTGAATAAATCATGGTTACCAATTATCATTCAAGCACATCTTTGAGGGTCAGAATCTTGCAAGTCTATTTCATGCAATTAGTGCTTGTTGAACTGTTCAACAAGCACTGATTTGGGGTTATTTCAAATCAGACAGAAAACAGTTGCGGACTGAATGTGATCTATTTTTGTATGCGTTACTTATTATTTATGATTTGAAATCAAGCTAGCCTTGTTTGTATCCCTCCGCTGCGTTCTTGCTTGACAACATTGCCATAAGCTTTATGCTTCTATCCGACAACGTTAACTGAAATATAGACTGCGAGCAGTCTCTTCTTTTCCTAATGTTTTTAGGGCACGGCGCGCGATCGAGCGGCGAGCGGCAAAGATATCGCGCGCGTGCCCCTTTAAGTTTTGCGTAGACTGCAAAACAGTCCGTATTTTAGCGCAAGAGTCTGGCTGAACGTGGCCCGAAAAGGATCTGGAACGAGCGTGAAAATTACGAGTGGGATTGGGAGAGACTGTTTTGCAGTCTATGTCTTGCGGGCTTTAAAACATTTCTATCCGACAACGTTAATTGAAATAGGTGTACATGCTGACTCGTCCCAAGTCGTCTCTCTTGTCTCCTATTAATATTTTTACAGCCGAGGGGAGCGCAAGGGGTCGGGACCAGTCATTAAGTGTTCAGTATCGAATGTTGAAGATTAAAAGCAGTTGCGTGTGTTTTAAATTGAACGCCGTAGGGTTGATTCTTTTTACACACAATAGTATAATTATCTGCTTTATGACAATGCTATTGCAAACAGCGTGTCTAAAGAGCGTATGCGTAGGAGGCTACATCTACATTGCATGTCACATGTTGCCATCTTGGAATAATTTCAACGCCAAACAACTGATAAATTTGCCACTCTTTTCATTTGAACCAATAATTGGTGGCAAATTTTTCAAGCACTGAATAGCGCAGCCACAGGGATGATACAAGCAAGCCTCGCAAAAGGTAAAGTCTTCACGAGGCCTAGTGGCCCACAACTGCCGGAGCTTATCCCGGTTTCTGTAGCATTAAGCGACTTGGAGTATTGCTACTCCCCTGGATGGGATGCTAGTCCATCGCAGGTTACCCACCCCCCCCCCCCCCCAGCATTTTGTCGCCGGTACCCAAGTATACTCCTGGGTGGAGAGAAGCACTGTGAGAGTAAAGTATCTTGTCCAAAAAGAACGACACAGTCACCCCGGCCAGGGCTCGAACCCGGACCGCTCGGTCTGGATTCCAGCGCGCTAACCATTATGTCACCGCAAGAGAGGATGATCTAAGAGAACACATCCCCGTACATGGACCTCTTCCAATTATTTTTTTTTTCAATCTAATTTTAGCGCGTGCATGGTCATACTGGCGCGGCTATTTTAAGGAAGACACCTGATTGGTCAGTTGTAATGACGTAATGAAATTTAAGATTTAAGTATGAGGTGTAAACAAAAACAAAACATGGCGGACGTTTCATCGAGAATGCCAAAGAGATTTTGTGCCTGTATATAATTCACTTTTCAACATTGACAAAAAGTACCAAATTTAATGCTTTAGTGCAAGATTAATGTTCCATTCAGCTCAGTTTCAAACTACCCACGAAATATAGCACGCACTCGTCGAGACAGTTCGCAATTGGGACCACTGGGCTAAGGGTAAGCATACATTTAATACCGATTCAAGATATATTCCATTTTTATATTTATCGTTTCCTGTTAGGTTATAGGGGTGGTCCTTAGGGGTGGTCCGTGGACCGGTCCGTGAAGTGGTCCATGGACCGGGGTCAGTGGAGTGGTCCGCGGACCGGGGAACAGCGTTTTTTTTTGTTTTTGGTCACTCCATGGATAAAGATTATTGGAACTCACACGCGATTGTGAGTTTCATGAAAAGTCACCTTGAATAATGCAGTAATCCACGAAGTCATCGATAACGCTGATGTACATTCCCTTCGAAACACATGTAGTAGTGCTTGAAGATCGTTTAATTGAAGTGTCGAACGCTCTTTCCTAATCTGGTCATGATTACTGTTAGTACTGCTAGTATTAGTTTCAATATCTTATCTTCAGTGTATTTAGCCTTAAAGCCAACCCCACAAAAACGCCCAGAATTTAAAATATCTGAGCTTGAGCTTCCATGGTTCTGCCACCAAACTTATAATTACTTTGAGTTATTGTTACTCGTTTTTATGACATGAATACATATAATTTACCCTGAGTGTAAAACTCGCGCTATGATTGGTCAATCCTTTATTAGAGTTCAAAATATAGACTGAAAACTGCGCGCTCTGATTGTTAAAACCTTTATCAGAGTATAAAACATAGAAAAGCGTGTTTTATCGTTTCGCGCGCGTTAATTCTATATATATTAAATTAAAACATAGATGCTGGAAAATGCGCGCGCTCTGATTGGTTAAAAAACCATGTTTTATCAGAGTATAAATCATAGAAAAGCCGTGTTTTATCGTTTTCGCGCGCGTTAAATCTATATTTTAAAGCAAAATGAAGAAGCCAAAACCATGCCACTGTATTATACTGTCATAAAACCCCGGGAATTTGAGAACACTTGAGAAATTTAGAAAACACTCGCCTGCGGCTCGTGTTTTCTAAATTTCTCTCGTGTTCTCAAATTCCCGTCGTGTTTTTATGACAGTATAATACATGGTTTTGGCTTCTTTATTTGTTAAGGCACATAAAGAAGCAAAACCATGTACTATACTGTCATAAAAACACTCCGGGAATTGAGAACACTTGAGAAATATAGAAAAACACTCGGCTGCGGCTCGTGTTTTCTAACTTCTCTCGTGTTCTCAAATTCCCGTCGTGTTTTATGACAGTATGGCTTCTTTAATTGTTAAATATACGGCGCATGACGTCACGAATGGCGGGAAACACGGGCGCCCTGTCTCAAAACAGAGGCAATATTTTCATCAAACTGGAAATAATCCGAACGAAAATCAATGTAGATCAATTTTTTAAATATGAAAATTAGTTATATGCGTTTACAATTTGCAATTAAAATTGAAAAAAACTAATAACGCCGAAGGGGATTTACACACGTGCTTGAAAATGATATGCAAAGACGACAAAGAACGTCTGCGTGGTTCAAGGATATATTGTTTCAGTTCTGGATCACAAAGTGTTCACAAAGACAGGTATCCATCTTGGTTTAATTTCAACGCCAAACAACTGATACCTTATCACTTAGATGGCAAATATGTCAAACAGCATCGTAGCAGAGGAATACAAACGAAGCTCGTGCGCGGTGCAAAGAGGAGGTCGGTAAAATGTTCATTGAAACGGATGTTAGCCCTCACGCTGGAGACGCCATCTTGGATTTAGACTGTGGGACAGGAGAGTTGTATGCATATCTGTCTGAGCTTGTAGGACCCGAGGGAAAAGTTGTAGGTGTTGATCCTGACAAGGAACGAATTATACTGGCTCAGCAAACACACGGTGAAATCAAGAATCTCTCATTTGTGGATGGAAGCGCTTCAAACTTCCCAGGGATTGGGTTGGAGTCATACGACATGATTTTCAGTAATCATGCCATCCACTGGATCCGTGACAACAAGAGGTTTTCAAGAATATGTTTGAAAGTCTTAAAAGTGGTGGAAGAATAGCTATTCAGTATGTGGATCATCTTCATCCCTTTTTATTAAGCGCTTTTAAAGAGCTCAATCCCGACACCGCAGAGCATATTTGTGAGATCATGTACCAGTGCGAAGAGAGGGCCAAGATCGAGCAGTACTGTTCTTCAGAGGGATTTCATATCATTAAGAGTTACGACACGCAAACCAGACAACGTGTTTTCGAGAGCATCGAGAGTCTGCTGAAATGTCTTGAATCTATGACACACGGTGTTTTTGATCCTAATCTGGTAACCAAAGAGCGATTACAGAGATATTATCCCTACTCAAGCCGAGATGGTAAACCTCCATTTGACTTTCGAGAATCAAAGAGGAATCGACTATGAGTAGATTGACAGCTGTCAAGCAAGAAAGAGGCAGTCCATAAACATTCTACAGTCGAACCTCTCCATACGGACACCTGTAGCAGCTCCGCAAATGATCCCGGGACCGCAATGATCCCCGACCGCAAATGATCCCCAAATTGGACCGCAAATGATCCCCGACCGCAAATGATCCCCAAATTGGACCGCAAATGATCCCCGACGCGCAAATGATCCCCAAATTGGACCGCAAATGATCCCGCTAAAAATCGAGGAATGGCGTGGACGGTGGACGAGATTTTTTTCCGATTTTAATATTTTCCCCAATAACTGAATCTGTGCACGCTAGAACATTTTTTATGATGGAAGTGATATATATTGTTTCATTACTTAAGGCATTGATGCAGATTTTAGAAAACAAATAAACTCAAAATCACTGAACGAGAATACCAGATATATTCTAAAAATAGTTAATTCGAGAAGGTGTTATTTTGGTTTTCGCTGTAAACTTCATCCGCGTCTAGAATGATTGCAGATTTATATTGCTTTCGCGTCACCAAGATTCATTTATCTATAAATTTGTTAATAATATTATTTCATTTAATCTGTATTTCGAGCAGATTATATATGGAAGCGTTACATATCCTTTCTTTACTATAAAACGTGCATAGTCCGACGTGACTTATCACACTTTGATATTTCGTGATAACATTGTACATTTCAATTATTTCAACAATAACATAACTGACCATAACTGGCAACTTCAACGGCAACAACGCAATGTTTTTACAACTTTTACTTTAATTAGTTTCCGTCCAGGTTTCACAATTTTGCTCGATGAATGCCGTCCACAACTGTTTAACTGATTTCATGTAACGCGCACACATCACAGAAAACGTTGTCGTCTGAATCGACCTGTAAAGCTCCACCACTCTCCAAAAACATCCTTGGGTATAGCACTGGAACTTCTTTCCACGATTAGGACAAATTTCCTCTGTGGCTTTTTCCCTCGTCGTATTTGTTTTTCAATTCCTTCGCAACGGACAATAAAAAGGAGAATTAAAAAATTCGTGTTGTTTGATTGAGAGTGAGTTTAGCCTGAAAAAAATTCATAGTTTTCACACTTCATCAAAGCGGGCCAAAGCAGCATGAAATAATCACGATAATTCACCGGAAATGTAGTTTGCTGTAACGGGTGTTTCAATTTCCATGTATAGCTTGTTTCATGGCGCAGAATACCCGTCTTTAATCTCGAAATTTATAGATAAATGAATCTCGGTGACGCGAAAGCAATATAAATCTGCAATCATTCTAGACGCGGATGAAGTTTACAGCGAAAACCAAAAATAACACCTTCTCGAATTAACTATTTTTAGAATATATCTGGTATTCTCGTTCAGTGATTTTGAGTTCATTTGTTTTCTTAAAATCTGCATCAATGCCTTAAGTAATGAAACAATATATATCACTTCCATCATAAAAAATGTCTTGCGTGCACAGATTCAGTTATTGGGGAAAATATTTTAAAATCGGAAAAAAATTATCGTCCACCGTCCACGCCATTCCTCGATGTTTAGCGGATCATTTGCGGTCCATTCTGGGGATCATTTGCGGTCGGGGATCATTTGCGGTCCAATTTGGGGATCATTTGGCGGTCGGGGATCATTTGCGGTCCCGGGATCATTTGCCGAGCTGTACACACCTTCCTATTTAATACCCTGCTACATACAGACCAAGAGTTTCACTTTGCACCGGAGGGGGGGGGGGGGGGCATGTGCCGCCCCAAAGGGTATGGTTTTTGAGCCGTTTTTGGTCTGAAATTGGGTATGATTTCGACTATTTTGGTCTGAAATAGGGTATGTTTTGTGCACTCTAGTCTTGAATTTGGTTTGGCTTTAGACAAAACTGTTTTTTCCATTACCATCGGGGAATTTGAAGCCCTTTTTAATGTTTGCGCAAATGGAACCCATATCTGGGTTGCTGAAGTCATGTATTAGACACGTGTACTAATTTTATAGGTCTGAAATAGGGTATCGATTTTGGGTCAGGTCTGGAATAGGGTATAAAAAATCACATATTTTGGTCTGAAATAGGGTAAGGGTTTTCAAGAAGCGGGCCGCACACCCCCACAAAAAATGTTGGGGAGTACCCCCCCCCCACCCCCTCGGGCTTTGCACTGGCCAAATGAGACCGACAGACGCCTCTGTAATACGACACTGCAACTCAGCCGCTGATAGCAACATTCGTATACCCCTCTTATCTCTTTTATATTTCAGTCAAATCTGGTCTGAACTTCCTACTCTTTGTACATTTTACTTCTGTTTTAAGTGCAAA